AGGTCTTTTCCAACCTAAATGATTCTATGATTCTAATATTGCAAAGACCCCAATATTTTCCCCCATTTTGTTTACGAGTTATCCGAAACGCAGCTTTTCTGTGTTTTCTTCAGTAGCTACAGGCGCACACAAACTGAAGGCGTGCTGGTACAGCACCACTGCGCTCCCACTCGCTAAAAACCATGTTGCCGGAGCAAATGATACCGTTTGAGACTGGAGGAGAGCTGCCAAACGTCGTCGGGGTCCATCCCTGCAGGGTCTTTTCTGTGAGCTACGAGGAAAATACTCTTTTCTTTGTATGAGGTATAGATAGTCAGGATTCCCATCATCACAAAATATGTGCAAAAAAAGTTAAGGAAATGAACAAGCTGCAACTAGAAGTAGAAATTAGGCAGAGAAATTGCTTGGATCCCCTCAGACACCGCTGTTTAACCACCTCTCACAAAATTCTCATTCCAAACAGGACGCTTGGCCTCGTTAGCATGAGAAATTAAATAATTGGGACGCTTTAAATCTTTGCCGTTGCACAAGAGCATTAATCAATGCTGGGAAGTGGTGGGGCAAGGGACAATTCCCTAATGCGCTTTCCTGAAAGGGATTTCTCCAGCCTCATAAAACAGTTTGTTCGTGAAACCATGAAGTAAAGCGGGAATCACAAGGAAACAGTGATTTCAATTACTTTGCTAAATTTTTGGAGCAACGTCTGTCAGGAGATAGCGGGGAATACATGAGACCAAACGTGCCACAGAATATTAATTCCTAAGCTCAGCTCAAGCAATTAATCATTCTCATTTTCAGAATTAAATAATTTTAAGCGCCGCAGGACGAATTATCTCAACGTTTGTGCTGAAAGCCAACCAGGAGAACCGTAGCCTGGAACGACGAAACGACTCGCCCAAGCTCACGCAGCCGTTAGCGGTACGGGCCAGCAATAAGCTTCCAGGCTACCGGTTCACGCTGCCTCGCTGGTACCATCAAAACTGCCCTTGAAAGCGGGCCCGTCGGCCGCTCTTGGGAGGCACCGCTCATCCCTCACATATATTTAGGTTGTAAAACCTCTGCGGGTGTCTATCTCGCTAGAGGAGCTGCAGGGAAATCACTGTCACGCTGACCCTCTGAGCCCAAACAGGGGGATAAAAAACAAAAAACCCAAACACCCAGTGGTGCTGTAATATTGAAAATCTTACAGTTGAGTTCTAAACAGAGTTGACATCTGAACGTGACATGGTTTAGTGGGCATGGTGGTGTTGGGTTGATGGTTGGACTGATGATCTTAGAGGTCCTCTCCAATCTTAATGATTCCTAGTTTTTAGTTTCATTATAAAAGATCCAGCCACCAAGCCAGGAGGCGTGGGGTTGCTACTCTCCCCTGAATTGGTTTAGTGGTGGCCTTGGTAGTGTTAGGTTGGACTGGATGATCTTAAAGGGCTTTTCCAACCTAAATGATTCTATGATTCTATGATTTAAACCCTGATTTGTAGCGTTACCCTCCTAAATACAGGGTCTGCTCCTCTTTGGCGGAGGTGCTGGCAAGAATTACCTCCGTTTTACTACTCGCTCTTGGTAACCGATCTGTCACATTAGGAAAGAGCAGATGTCTCTGTAACCAGGCAATAGGTAGAATGAAAAAGAAAACAACAAAAAAAAAATAGCCAAAACACAAACCAAACCCACAAAGCTTTCAAGGGCTGAACTTTGAGATTAACACGCGAAGCAGAGGAGCCTCTGCGCAGTCGGTGTCTGGAATCTGGGAAATCACCTCAAGGCAGTCGGGAGCCTGGAGCGCAGATCAGCTGCCGACTCCTTTGACGTCAGCCAAATTGCTGTCCGGGCTTCCACACCGCCGCAGGGGAAGGCTGCCCCCCCCGAGATCACCCAAATTTAGGCGTGTTACACCCAGGCAGGCAGGAATTTTGCCATCACATGAAAACTATTTGATTACCAGCTGATCGCCACACCATGGGAAGTAAAATTCCCACAGGCTTGAAAATGAGAATACAGAGAAGGCTTTTCTTGCGCTTCACGGGGAAAATAAAATCTTTTTTGGTATAAATGAGACAACATCTGTAAAGGATATGATACAACACAAAAGGCAAGAACAGGTTTGGATTCAGGAAAGGGGTGCAGGTAATCCCAAATCAAAGCTACGATCGCGAAGAGACAAGAGATTGTGCAGATGATGAGGCGGCCATCGATCAAACGGAAATTTTCGACGTACTTGTATTTCTCCAGGAGAACCTGTGGGAGAAACACGCAACTGAGTTTATTTTGTGCTTTTCGTACATTTTACAAACTGCTTCTGAGACTATTTAGATAAACCAACCTCGATTATGTGGGTAAACTGAGCAGAAACTTTACACAGAATTAACGTCTGCATCAGTCATCGTAATAATTGCTGACACCGAAGCACAAACGCTGCCTTAGCCACGGGAATCACAAGAGATGCTACAGAACCAGCACGGATATGGGCACTTCACAATCAAACCAAAAAAGTTTCCAGAGTTTTTAAACTAAATATAGAAAGCTAAGAAAACAGAGCGTTTCCCAAGAGGGAGAAATCGGCAGTTGCAGAACATACCTTTTTGGCAGAATCGTCCAAAGAATTTTTCACAGCTGAACCGTCCCATTTATCAATTTTTACCGGCTTGTCATCGATCTTCCACTGCAATGGAAACCAAACGGAGTTAAGAAAATTTGCCACGGTTTAGCCTTTCGTTTTAACACGCTTGTTCCTGTTGTAAGCACAAAGATAGGAGGCAACCCAGAAAACACCTACCTGTTCGGGAAAACCTGACCAGAGATGGAGGGAATCCGGGGCCTGTTAACACAGCTGTAGCGCACCAAAAGTCACCTCAGCACCAACGCACCCATTACCCTTGCAGATTTAAGCTTATACACCTTGTCACGGGTACCGCAGATATTTGGTGAAGCGACTTTTTACATTGGTTTTATTCTAATTCTGATTCTGCGTTTGCTGCTCCCGCTGCCATGCACAGAAAGTCTCAGTTGGGATTTAATTCTTGCCTTCGAAGGTATTCACACTTTTCAGCCAAGTCGTTACAAACGGACTCTTTGGGGGCTGACAAGAAGAGGAAAATTTCAAGGCACCCTTAACAATCCGGGTACAAGGGGAGAACATGAAGGCACGAACAAGAAAACGTTTCAGTCAGACCACCCTCCAGAACGAAACCAAAGGATTCCATCACTCTTCTACATTCCGCTTTTCCTCATAATCTCTTCCTTCATCAATAACAAATCTCAGATACACGGGCTCAGCTTTTCACAGGGGTTAATTTTCCTCCGAACGATATCATTTTTTGCTGACACTATTCCTTTGAGCCTCAGACGCACACATGAGTTTGAGCCCTGTGTATTTGAAGTCATCAATTATTTCAAACAGCGGAGTGACTTCAGCTCAAATTTTAGCTGCCATTAGAAGCAATTCGCAGCTTCGCTCGTGTTATTTCCTGCTCCTGCAGCTCACAAGTTGGATTTATTAATTACCTGTCAGAAGAGCTCATTTCCTTTCTCTGGCAGGAATGAAACCATTTTAAAGTAAGATGTAGAACCTGACCTACTTCCCCTACGCTCGCACAGGGAAAAGCCTGGTTCTCCTTTGGACTCTGCAGGTACGAATTATTAGGTGCAGAGTAAACGTCACTTTGTGCGTGCACATGCAGTAACCGGTTTACGAGGGACAAAAGAAACAGCCAGAAAGCATTTAAAAGTCACGGATAACTGGGAAACAGCTCTCACATCAGTGTAAGTTGCAAAATATTTTAGGTGGTTACTTTTTTGTAGCCACCAGTTGTTCCTAAAGGTTAATTAGCACACACGACAATTGAAAGCCAAACCCTTTGCCATGAAAGAATACAGAAGAATTCTTTCAACTATTTATTTTTTCCTTATAAAAGCATCTACAACAGTTTTATTTCTTGCCTTTTGGGATTCCCAAAGATTAAAGTACCAAGAGCTAGACTAGGGAGAGAAAAAAAATCAAAACCTTTTTTCCTAATTAACGAACTGGAAGTCAGAAGTCTCTAAGCAACAACACCAACACCCAGTCCCTCTTTCCTTATCCCACAGATAAATCGAAAAAGCTTTGAAGAAACCCATTCGGGCTTGACCTCACCGCTCCCAGGTGTGCCCTCCATTTCTTGCAAGGGAGAGGAAGGAAAGCCAACGAGCCTGCGGCCGTGGAAATGTACGCCGCTGAGCAAAACCCTAAAACGCAAGCACTTTCCCGAAACAGCACCAGCTGCTTCCACTACAGAATTATTCTTGTAGGGTGCAGAAAAGCCCTGTTAGTTTAAAGACAAAAATACCGACTAGTAAGGCACGCGCAAGATGCAGCACAGCTGGATTCGCTACTGGATGCGCCCAATAACTCAACGCTGAACTCGGATGTGACTGCGGCGAAATATTTTGTCCTTTATTGTATTTGTGCAGCTGGAGTGAAGGCAAGCCTTACCCAGGAGGGACGGCGTCGTTCAGCCTCTGCAGAGTTTATTTTCGTTATTGATAAAACTCCCTGCAAAGGCTCAGTCTTTACAGCTGGTCACCCCTTCCCCCCGCTACTTTTTACAAATAATAAAGAATAAAATGAATGAGAAGTTTTTAAACACCACAAGGAACCTCAGCAGGCCATTTGAAGCCTTCCTTCAGACCAGATCTGTGTTTAAGTACAATTGTGAAGTTTTTTTTTTTTTCCAAAGGCCACTAAAGGAATCGTTTTGAAGAAGTAAAAAAATATATCTGAGCAAATATTTTGCATAATGGTTTTCCACATTTCCAGGGCTAAAACAAGACAATCCTTAGTATAAAATATGACAGCGTTCTCCAGCTTGTTCCTAAGGGAGAGCAAGAATCCAGACATACCTGGGAAGATGTCACTCGAATGATATTTTTGTGATATGTTTTACAATTAAATATTTAATACCGGAATCTCTGCTTTTGGCAACAGCATGGTTTACCTGGTATCAAAGCACAATGCATCTATCCCATCGTCAACGCTCAAGTTTTTAATCAATCTTATTATGTCTGCTTTTTCTTCCTAAAGCCTGCGAGGATGGAATCAAGGCTTATGCCAAAATTTCTTCTCTTCTCCTCCCAAATAATACCAACAGCTTTCTAGATATACTTGAAGACAGAACAGCTGGAAAACACTAATGATAAAAGCTCAGGAATCAAGAAATAAATGAAAATAAAGCCCAAGGCTATTTTTTAAAAAAAAACTCAAGATTTTAAAGCTATTTTATAGGCACCCTGGAAACCAGCCCTGGAGGCACAGGACTGCTAACACTTGGAGAAGGGATTTGCACGGAGGGGAATAATTGTACATAAAACGAGTCGAGGCACTGCCATAACGTATAGCCAGGAAGCCCGTGACAGAGCAAGAACTGGATTCTCGCTTCTCGCTCTCTGTCCTGAACTACCTGACACTGGAGTTGCCAGAGAGTATCAGTGAAATTTAACTGATACCGATCTCGAACAGAAAACCGGCACTTTCAGGGGTAGATATAAAGCCCACATGACATCGTTTTTGAAATAAAGCTGTTACTGGGGAAATAATTCTAATCTTAGATTGTTTAAAGCAATGAGCTGAACCAGCCGTTCTTCAGTTCGTGTTCAGGCTTCCCTGTGACTGAGGCTGTCCTGCTTCAAGACAGTAACAGCTGGATAATCCCAAAGCGGTTCATGTCAGAAGGGACCTTGTAACGGGGACGCATCTGGAGTTTGGGACTTCAGCCAGGGAGAAGCTTTAGCCCTCCCTTTACCTTGGTCTTGATGTTCCCACGAGGTCAGTTCTAGCACGGTACAGAACCACGGTGCTGCTGCTGCTTGTCTTAATTCTTCCAGGCCGATCTGCAGGACCAAAGAGCTAGGGAGAAGTTGGGATGCACTGCGCTGGCATCCGGAATGCCAGTGCTGTGGAAGAGGAGCAGAAGGAGGTGCTCAAAGGAAACAATCAACCTCCACGTTACCTCTGTGTCCAGATGTGCACAGAAACAGATGCACATCTGTACACTGATGTCTATATAGCAGTGCAAGCTTGGGCAAAACCTTCGATTGATGGCCGTCCCCACGTTCGGCTTGGAAGAGAGCCAGAGATTCAGTCCCTACCACCAAGTGCTCGTCCTCAAACAGGGCAGGGGAAAGCCTTCTTCCCCTCTCGGGTCTGCAGAACAGCCCTGCCTTGCCTGCACAGGTTGGGGAGGGAAGGCGAAGCTGCACCGATGCCCTGAGGAGCCCGACAGATGCATACACATCCGCTCCTCCAGCTACTGGATGGTATTTTTCAACCACTTACTCATTTTAAGCATTTCCGGTGCAAGCTCCAAAGGCTTCAAAAGAAAAGCTTCCAGTCTGACGGAGGAAAAGAAAAACCCAACCAGTTCAAAACAGTTTTTTAGTCTGGGTGTCATTTGACTCCTTCATTTTAAAAACCAAGTGGAAGGTTATCGTACTTGTCCTGAACACATCCTAACTATGAATAGCAAGTAAACACGGTGTTCTACAGCCAGGCACAGCTAGGAGGTGGATTTGGTACCTGAAAGCGTACCCATGTACAAGCAGGGCTTCAGAGCAAAGTCTGAAACATAGCCAGGGGGTTCCCTTACTTAAAAAACGAAGAATAAAATCAGAACTGCAATTTCAGAAAGCCGCAAAACCAATCTGACACTGGAAGCACACAAAGGCCCCAGCTGTTCCCACCCAAGTAAAGATGCTGCCTGCAGCTGGATCACAGCACAGCAGCAGGGGAGCATTCTGTTCTTCGCTCCAAAAAAAAAAAAAAAAAAAAAAAAAGGGGGACAGCAAAACAAGTGCTTGCTTTCACAGATCACCGCAGGATCTGAGCGCTCGCAAGGCTCGTTTGTCAAGCTATCACCTACCTTCATTTAAATCCCTTCACAAGACTCCCTCATAAGCAGGAGGCACGGAAAAATCCTACGGGAGAAATTTCAAGATGTTCGTATCTCAGAAGAAAGACACAGCACAAACTTAACTTTCCCCCCCCAACCACCTTATTCCTTCTGTCCCTACTGTCAGCCTTATTTACATCACGTCCAATTTTAGCCTGCAAATCTTCTGGGTAGCTAGCTTGTCTCTTCAAATATTGCTCTGAAGTTTATGGCGCACTCTGAGTATGAGAAACATAAATAATCACGTTGTAAAGTAAAAAAAGATCTGTTGCTACTGCAAGAGGAGCACCAGTGTAGACCATATAAACTCTTCAAGGGGAGTAACGTTTCTGCATCTAATCCGTGTTTTCTATTACAAGGATGAAAAGAAAGTAACCTCCCCTTCCCAAACCTAAAATCAGAAACTCTTCAAACCAGGACCTGCAACGCCGCAGCCGAGGGAGGTTGGAAGAGTCTCAGCAGATGATGCACACCGGCTCCCTCAAGACACAGCCGACACCACAGCTGATTGCCTTTTCCTGTAGGCAGGGCTGCAGCTGACAGAGCAGCGAGCCCCAAACTGCAGGAACCCACCCCTCCACATAAATTCTAAAATAATGGTGACGCTGCACACCATGAGCCCGGCAGAAGCAGGATTTGTGAGTGGGAGAGTCCAGGGACACCTCGCTGCACATCAGTTCCTTCCTCTTCCTCTTGAAGGAAGAGTTGTACCAAACTCCAGCTAGCTCAGCCTCTGCCT